GGGGGGGGGGGGAGAAAAAGAAACGAAAGAAAAAGTTTACACTGGCCTGAACTTGTGAGTCTGGCCGAATATAATCAACATAACAGATCGAAATAATCGCTGACGTTTCCTGAGGACTTATCATGTTCCAGACCCGGTAATAAGCTCTGTAGATATGATTAGTTCAAACTCATCTAACCCATCGCTGAGGAATCAGGCACAGAGGGGTCAAGTTCCCTGCCCAAGGTCACACAGCAAGTGACCGGCCCAGTGGGGCCATGTTTCCAGGGCTGTGTAATTGATATGAACTCCAGCCAAAGCTGCTGCGACGAACGTGAGGCCCGGTGCCCCTGACCTCTTCATCTTGCGTGTTCTCACACTGGAGTTGGTCCCTCCGGGCGGCCGAGAAGCTGCTCCGGGGTGGGGAAGCCGGCTGTAGGGAGCTGGACGCAGGCGTCACGTTACTAGAAGGTGGGGACAGGCAGGACAGCCTTAACGTATCGCCCTCCTGCCAACGGGAGCGGAATGGGCATTGGGCCAGGAACCGAGCAGGCCGGGAGAGCAGGAGCCCTGGGTCAGCTTGAGTGTCCCGGCCCCGTGCAGGGCTTGGCCCAGAGCGAGGAGACCTGCAGAGTGGGGACAGCCTATGCGCTGGGCTCTCCAGAAAGCTGGCTGCACGTGCCTGGACACGTGTCAGCCTTCTCTGGGCCTCATTTTTCTCTGTGACCGGAGGCAGCTGGCTTGACTGATCTGCGAGGTCCCTTCCAGCTTTGAGAGCCCATGGTTTTCCACCTGGATTCTAGAATTCCCTGCTCTTACACACTCTGAGACTGGAAAATCCTAAAAGCCTATGCAAAGTATCTAAGCTACTGCCGTGGTAAGATTCCAGAATGGTCTATTCCTTTATGTCAGTGTTTCACAACCCGTTTTCATTATCAGCTTCCTGAAGAGCTTTTATTTTTGATTTTTAAGGTTTATTTATTTATCTTGATAAATTTTTTTTAACATTTATTTATTTTTGAGAGACAGAGCATGAGCGGGGGAGGGGCAGAGAGCGAGAAGGAGACACAGAATCCGAAGCAGGCTCCAGGCTCTGGACTGTCAGCACAGAGCCCCATGTGGGGCTCGAACCCACGAACTGTGAGATCATGACCTGAGCCGAAGTCGGATGCTCAACCGACTGAGCCACCCAGGCGCCCCTCTTGTATTTTTATTCATTTTTTTATTAAGTAATCTCTATGCCCAATGTGGGGCTTGAACTCACATCTCCAGGAACAAGAGTTGCATGCTCCGTGGGGCGCTTGTGCTGTCTCTCTCTCTCTCAAAAATAAATAAATACACTTTAAAAATTAAAAAAAAAAAAAAAAGAGTCGCATGCACCCAGACTGAGCCTGCCAGGCGCCCCATCTGTACGTTGGATATACTTTAATAACACATTTGTAGAAAGATTCTGGGATTGTTTTTAATCTGACTCCCAGAACTATAAATATTCAAGAGTCTTTATGATTGTGATATTCTGGAAGAGGGCTCAGCAAACTGCAGACTGTGGACCAAATGAGGCCCCCTGCCTGTTTCTGTTTTTGTTTTTAAATAAAGTTTTATTGGAACCTAGGCCCGCACATTCACGCATGTCCAGTCTAGGGCTGCTTTCCGGCTACCACAGCAGCCGGGAGTGGTGGCAACAGAGAACGTCAGCTCCACAAGGCAGAAAATGATTACTCCGTGGCCCTTGACAGAAAGTGTTCTGAGTCCTGGTCTAGAATGATCCATTCCAGCATACCTTTGGTTCTGTGATTCTAGAATTTGATGTGCTTGAGTTTGCAAGGTCTCTGTAAGAATCCGATCTGAAGGGTTTCGAATTTAGATTTCTAGGACTTTGAGATTCTAGAGCCTTAAGACTCTGTAAGTCCCAAGGGCCCACATCTTCCCTTCACTTGCTCTCCTACCTTTGTCGGCCACACGCTTCGTGCCATTGCCCTGAGCCACCTCCAACTCAGGAATCTCCACGGTCACCCAGCCCGTGTGGCCCCTGCTGTCATTGAGGGTCCCGAGGTCCCCGCAGGTTGAGGTTGCCACGCGACTCCCAGGAAAGCTGCCACCGGGGCCCGCAGACCCCCCAGGCTGAACCTGACTTTGGTGACATGTGAGTCACACAAGAAGACACCATCCTTCTTCCACCCGATACGGAGCTGCTGCCCCCAGGCTTGGGACTGCACCACCTGGCGGGCCAAGGTCACCTGGCTGTCCTCCCTCACCTGCGGCAGTTTGGGCCCCTGCTGCACACTGAGGCCTGCAGTTCCTTGCAGGACTAGGGGACACAAGACGTGAGTAAGGCCTTTCCGTGTGTGTGTGTGTGTTTATGGGACTTACTCTCTCAGCCCACACAGGTGACACTACGTGATCTTTGCGAGGTCACTTCTCACTGAGGCACACCAATCCTGCCCCGTGTGTGCCGGGTCCTGTTCTGGACACCACTGACACAGGCACAGAGGTGACGGAGACAGACAACCATTCCTGCCAT